TCATTAGCTGTGTTGTTATCACTACGTCCAGAGATTACACATTTGGTGACAGAATGGTTAGTTTATGGAAAGTAATGACTGATTTTCATGACTTTTGACTTACCTAAAATGTCACTTTTTTCCTCTTAAATCAAAGTCCCTCAGATCAAGCTGTCCTTGTCGCTTGGCCATGGTGCTAAAATCGTAACACCCAGTGACGTTCGGTGAGCTTCATGGCTGGTGAGGCACTGATTTCATCACAATCAGATTTACAAATATATGCACTCTACAGAGTAGCATATTTGCACGTGTTTCTTTTTTCTTTCTTTTTTTTTTTAAGTTACTGCGGTCGTACCTTTACCTTTAAATTAAGTCCATGCTCCGCTCCTTCTGGACAAAAATATCCGTTACAGCTGCTCTTCCAAACATTTGAATGGGAAATTGCGAAAATTCTGCGATTTTTAATTTAAAAATCATCAAAATTGTAGAGGTTAAATGAAAAAGTGAATGCTTTATAATACAAATCACTGGATAAATATAACCATTTAAATAATTTTATCTTGCCTCTCCTGGTCGCACGTCACTGGTAACACCACTACTTGCGCTACTATGCCGCTCACTGACGTTGATGAAAAAGAAAAAAAAACGTGTCACAATCGCGCATGCCTGCTCTCCCACAGTGTCTTACTCAGAAGGGATTATCAACAGAATGGACGTGCACGCAACTTGACGGCCTAAAGAACGGTCTCTTTGAACGCAAATCCCCCTAAATATTGGAATCCTGGTTATATTTCCATTGCCAGAAATTCAGAATAGTAGTAATATTTCCACATTCATTGGTAAAAATGGCTGGGGATGGAAAAGGGGGTGACTGTTTGAGAGTGAGGATGGTTTTTAACATTTTTATTTCAGGGGGGATCTCATCCCCCCTCATCCCCCCTCAACTCAAGCACTGCATATATATCAGTATCGGTATTGGTTGATATCGGAATTGAAAATTGAGAGTTGGACCATATCGGCATATCGTTTTTTTGGCTAAATAAATAAATAAATAAATAAATAAAATATGTATATATATATATGTTAGACCACCCTTGTTTTCTTCAGTTTCTTGGTCATTTTAATGCCTGGTACCACCAAAGGTATATTACCTGAAGAATTCAATGAACACAACACGATGCCCATTCCAGCCAATATACTTGTTAGGAGGAAGCATGGAGAAGCCTACAAACCAGACTGTCTTGCCCCTGCAGTAAAACATGGGGGTGAGCCAGTGACGATCTGAGGTTGTTTCAGTATGGGTGGAACAGGGCAAAGGCAATTGTGTGAAGGGCAAATAAACCAGGTCATGTACAGGGCTACTCTTGAAAACAGTCTTCTTCCATCAGCTGGAAAACTCTTTCCTGCCTCAAATGACTGGATTTTCCAACAAGACAATGCCCCTTGCCACACGGCAAGGTTAATTAAACCCTGGATGGAGAACCAGAACATTCAAACCATGCTTTGGCCTGCTCAATCACCAGATCTAAATCCAACTTAAAATCTGTGGAAAATCATCAAATGCAAAATGGAGAACCACAAGCCCAAGAACAAAGCATTTTTTTTTTTAATTTATGCAACAGGAATGGGCTGCTGTGATAACAGACAACACTAGTTGGACTTCATAGCTACAGATGTCAGGGCAATGGGTCTGTAGTCGTTCAGTCCTGTGATATCTGTTTTGTTATTATTATTATTATTATTATTATTATTATGTCCATCATCGAAGAACTGCAAAAGGGATCTAATGTAAAAAATGCCAAAGCTGACAAGATCATGATGAAATTTGGCATAAAAATCCAAGATGACATGGCCAAAACAAAAGAGGCTCTAAAACAGCAAGTTCAGGCCCAAGCACAGAGACTCAGGTGATACACCAAAAGGGCAATCTTCTTCCAGCAAAACAAGACCTTCAGGGACAGTGCCAAAAAGCTCTACAGAGAGCCGGGAAAGACAGCCAACACTATCCACAACCCTCCATCACTCATAGCGGTCGAGATGTTCTGGCAAAATGTGGGAGAACAAGACCCATAATGATGCTGCCCACTGGATCCAAAACCAAGCCAAGGACAACCAGTATGTCCCAACTCAGGAATGGTCAGACGTCACCACAGAGGAGACCATCAAAGCCATCCACAAGGCCAGCAACTGGAAAGCCACAGGATGCAATGGCGTGGCTAACTTCTGGCTCAACCAACTGACCAGCTTACACCCTGAATTAGACATTGCCTACAACAACATCCTCAAGAACCCAGAACAGTTCCCAGAGGGGCTGACCGAAGGTGTGACTTTCCTGATATCAAAGTCTGAAGACACAGAGAACCCTGAAAACTACAGGCCTATCACCTATGTACAAGGTCCTGACCTCCATCATGAAAGAAAGGGCCTATATATTTTTTGAAAGTAACAACCTGCTCCCCAAAGTGCAGAAAGAATGTCGCCACAGGAGCTATGGCTGTAAAGACCAGCTCCTCATCAACAAAGCCATCCTTGAGGATGTGAGATCCAAGCGCCGTAATCTCTCCACGACCTGGATCGACGACAAGAAGGCCTTTGATAGTGTGCCCCACACCTGGCTCACTAAAAGCCTCGAACTCTACAAGATCTGCCCCACTATCACCCAATTCATGCAGGAAAACATGAACTCATGGAAGACAATCCTCCATCAAACCCACGATAAGAGCATGATGACATCCAGACCTATCAAAATCAAAAGTGGCATCTATCAGTGAGACTCTCTGTCCCCTCTAATCTTTTGTCTTGCTCTTGCTCCTCTTAGCTCCCTCCTGAACAAGACTGGCTATGGGTACAACACCCCCTATGGCAACATCAGCCACCTCTTCTACATGGATGACCTGAAGACCTAAGCAAAAAATAAAGACGAACAAACAGGCCTGCTGACAACCCTCAAATCTTTCAGTGACAACATAGGCATGGAGTTCAAATTGGACAAGTGCGCCAATGCCACCTTGAAGACAGGGAAATTAGCCAAATCTAGTAACATCAAGCTCAACATCAAAACCATCATCCAGGACTTAGAACAGGAAGGTACCTATAAGTACCTCGGAGTCAGCGGGGGAGATGGAGTCCAGCACTCTCAGATAAAAGAGAAGATCCGAAAAAGTACTACCGCAGGATCTGGATAGTACTGAAGTCTGAACTGATCTCCGCAAACAAACTGGAAGCCATCAACACCTTGGCAGTACCAGTGGTAACTTAACGTTTTAACATCATGAACTGGACATTACAAGAGCTGGCCAAACTTGATACGAAGACTAGGAAGTTCTCGACTATGTACAAGATGCATCACCCAAAATCTGACATGGACAGGCTGTACCTGTCCAGAACTGATGGAGGTAGAGGACTCATACAACTGGAACTTTCCTACAAGACAAACACTACTGGTCTTGAGGAATACCTCCAGGAGACACAGGACACACTCTTCCACTTTATCAAAGACCGTGACAACAGGAAATCCTTGTAATCCATCAGCAGACAGTCAATGAAGTTCAGCTGGGAACTGGGAGTGCCTGCAATACCATCTGCAGAGGATGAGGAGAACACCACCTATGCCCACAAAACAAAGGCCAAGGCCAGACACCAGGGTCTCCAACAGCTCAGGTCCAAGTAGGAATGAAAAACGCTCCATGGCAAATACCCACAATGGGTGAGACAGGCTGACGTGGACCAAAACAAGACCCACAGATGGCTAAAAACAGCTGGCCGCAAGGCCCAAAATCAAAGCCTCCGAACACGCTGGTACCGACACAACATCCTCAAGAAACCTGATGTGGACCCAAAATGCAGACTGTGTGGCTGTTTCAACAAGACCATTGATCACCTGGTCTCTGGCTGCCCTGAACTGGCTAAAACTGAATACATCCACTGCCACAACAAGGCAGCTGCACATATGCACTAGAAGATCTGCAAAGAGTTTGGCATTGAGATGAAGGAATGATGGTATGAGCATGAACCCAAGACTGTCACAGAGAATGGCAGCATCACTATTCTGTGTGACATGCCCATCCACACTAAAAGGACCATAGCAGCTAATAGGCCAGACATTGTGCTAAAAAACAAGGACAAAACCTGCCTTCTCATTGACATGACTACACCCCTCGACACCACACCTCAGTCAAAACCATAGAAAAGCTTACCAAATACAAAGACTTGGAAATCGAGGTTGACCAAATGTGGTGGCTCGAAACAACAACAGTCCCAGTGGTTATGGCAGCCTTTGGACCCATCAAGAAAGGCATGGAAAAATACTCCAACAAAATCCCAGGCAACATCAACATACATGAACTCCAGAAAATAACTCTCCTTTCTCTTAGGTTTTCAATACATCTTTAACAAATCATGATTTAAAAACTGCATTTTGGGTTTTGTGGGTTATCTCTGTCTAGTATTAAATAAATATAACTATTAATTGATGATCTGGAGCATGAAAGTGTATGAAATATGCAAAAAAGAATTTAGGAAGGGAGCAAATACTTTTTCACAGTACTGTAATGGCTTCTTTAAGTCAGCTAATCACCTGCGACAGCTGTATTTTTTGTCTCTAACAGATTTTCTTCCTTCTTTATTTCTGCAGTAAAAACATTGTGAGACTGTATGAACCTGTTTTCACGCATGAGGTTATCACCTGGGCAGCAGCAAAATGTTACAGGAACCTTCAGAAACCCCTACAATTTAAACTATGCTAACCAAACATTTTTACAGGTGACTAACTCAGAAATTGCTGACAACACTTGCCAGTCGAGCAACAGTGAGGCTACAAACCATAGTGCAATTCTTTTTGTAAAAGACTTTGTTACACCGACACTGTCTGTATTCAAATATGCAGTTGTCTAGTCCTTCAATGCAAGATGGCCCCTGCTTTTTCAAACTTAATATTCACATAAAAATATTATTTTGTACTTAGGCCTATATGATAATCAGGAGCAGACTTCCTAAACTGATTAGATCTTGTGTCCATGCAGCCTCCAGTGGATGCATCCACCCAGGACACCATGATGGCCGTGCTGGTTGAGATGGGATTTGGGGACCGACCACTTAACCAGCAGTTGCTGAAGAAACACAACTACAATCTGCTGGATGTGGTCAACGAGCTTGTTCAGATGACCGACAATGACTGGTACTCCACACGCTACTGACTAGAGACAGAAAGAAGGGGAAGAAGAAGAAAACAGATAGAGAAGGAGATGAAACACAATAGATTATGGATTTTTTTTAAAAAAGAGAATGGAAGCGATAAATCCATTTTTGCTCATCTACCTTTCCATATTTCCTTTCTAATACTGTTCACCTCTTCTCCATTTGGATGGAGGGTACTTTCCTTCATGACCATAACGTGAACATTCCAGCAAACTTTCTGGGATCCTGTACTAGGCCATCAAACACCACTGTTTTAATTTCAACATAGGCCTTTATAGCGGCACATTTCTTTGCATGCCAATCTAAAAAAGATAAAGAAAAAAGCAATCTATGTCTCAAATGAGCTATGTGTAGTAGTTCAAAGGTTAAGACCACATTGTTTTAATGTGATGAACAGTGAAAGTATAAAAGCTGATTAAATGGTAAATGGGCTGCACTCATATAGCGCCTTTCTACCTTAGCGGCACTCAAAGCGCTTTACAATGTTTTCTCATTCACCCATTCACACACATTCATACACCAATGATGACAGAGCTGCCATGCAAGGTGCTGCCTGCCATTGGGAGCAACTTCGGGTTCAGTGTCTTGCCCAAGGACACTTCGACTGTTGAGGGACGGGGGTTCGAACCACCAACCTTAGGATCAGAGGACAACCGCTTCACCACCTGAGCCACAGCCGCCCTTAAATTAGGAACTCTTAAATTAGGCATGCTTGATGTTGCTTTAAAGTAGTTAGTAACATGTGATTTGTATTAATAAGGTGAATTAAAGTTGTGTTAGAAACAAAAGCTAAACAGTTCTACTTCAGTATATTAACACAATCAATTTTACAGTTAATGCACGATGCAGGTAAATATGTTACTATCAAAATTTAAATTAGTGTTACAGGCTACACAAAACTTTTTTTTCCCCTTTTGCAACAGAATGATGATGTTTGATGTTTCAACAATTTCCCTTAGGTTTGCACCAAAGGGATCAACTCTATTCTATTCTATTCTATTCTATTCTATTCTATTCTATGTACAAATAGTACATAAACACAATATCAAACATTCACGTCTGCACTGAGAACAATAGTGAGGATGTCCACATCACAGGCTACATTCCCAGTTTAGTCAGAATGTCTGCACATGCTTATCAGTAACAGACTCTAAGTAAACATAGAACTTTCAATCTACTTTTTTCAAAACACCAAGCAATGCAACATTCTCTTATACTTGCTTTTAACTGGGAACTCTTAAATTAGCCATGCTTGATGTTGCTTTAGAGTTGTTTGGCTCTCGTCTGACCCAGAGTTTTTCTACACAGAGTCACTGCATGGAGAATGTAGGTATCAGCCTGCCATTTCAGCTACATGGTTTATGTGGCATTCTCCTTCTACTACCTGTATTGCTGTTTTCAAAATCCATTTCACTATGGGAAACAGCAGCAAGAACCTCTAGGCAGCAACCTACACAATAAAATTGACAAGTTTTAAAGTTTTAAATCATGCAATTAAACAGCCTGCTTGTTTTTTTCAGTGAATTACCCATTTTACTGGCAGTGCTCCCCTCCCCACATACAAATGCTTCACCACATCAAGTTCCCCCTGACACTGTTTTATAGTAATTGCTGCATCCTGGCCTTAGCAATGCCCAAGATGATTATGACTGATTTGAAGAACTACAAACAAGCCAGATCATTTTCCCACTGTAGCAGAATAATAAAGAGATAAAGCCAGACCATTTTCCAGTGCTGGCACAGGGCTGTGGAGATGATTCTGACTATATAAGACTAGTTACCCTAATCTGACTGGTCTTACTAAAGTTTTGCAAAAGCTTAGTCATTCCAGAGGGTTGCACACATTTCTGCACATTCTTGTGAAAAATTTTGAAACAGATGCTTGACTATACAGGCTAATTAATAAACTTTGGTAGCAGGTGAGCTAATAGCTGACACTGTCATAACTGCTCTCCAAGTAGTTCATTTTCCTAGATTCATGCATTTTCAGAAATAATTTGACCACTGATTCCAGTCATGGTCAAGTTCAATACAGTTGAATGTGATACACAACACACAATTGATTTTTTTTTTCCCCCCATTAGTGAATCAGCTAGTTGCAGCAGCTCCATTGAAATAATTTGATTCCATTTCAAAAATGTTCTCTTTTGAACGCTGGTGTGGCATGTAATCTTTAGACTGGACTATTCTGATGCTGGTATAGTTGAATTTTTATTAATAATGTTATTTTTGTTCAATTCATTTTGTTGATATCACTGAAGCATATACAACATAGGGAGCTTGGACACTGTACTGTTTGCATATGCTGTTATAGATGAGTAGATGACCACTGGAAGCAGATAAACATTTTCCATGTGACTTGGAGGTTCTATATGCACTTAAAAACTTACCAGACACAGGGACAATTATTTCACATAAAATCTTCTTAGTACTATTGCATTTTCCCTCTCTAACTTATTGTCTCAACATTGACTCAACTTGTTTGTTGTCCTGAACATTTTTATCAGCATCAGAACCACCTGAGGGATCCTAAGGGGGTCTTGACCCAGTAGAACACACTGTCTACAGGGCTACCACAGATTGTAGGTTTGGGGTTTCAGCATGAACCAAATCATTAGGTAATGATAATCACATATGTGATTCAGCACATGGGTCATGGATCAGTTTCTCGCTATTCATTGAGGGTCAATCATGATGGTAAAAGGTACCATCAGCAAAACTGTCCAGTGAATCAGTTATCAGCCAGTCTATATGAATTACTATTGATTATCCGTTAAATTAAAAGCAACAATGGATCTGATTTTTACAAATGAACCAAATTCCAGATGTGAAAGAGACTTTAGATGCGCAAATAAATTTGTAGTTTTGAAATGCACAAAGGACTTAAGTTAAAACATTTTACTCACTGTTACAAATCAGACAAAAATGCTGCTTAAAATAACTGTTTAATTGACTTAGATGTGCACGTTTAATGACCACAAACAGTTAAGTTGAGTTGAATTCCTTCATCAAAGCTTATACGTTTTCATATCAATTTGTCATCTGTTTTGTGCTTCTTCGGATGTGGAGGCTCACACTTGTCCAGGAAAAATACTTTCTTTGTCTCTTCCCTGAGGTAATTTTAACCCTTAACTGGAATGTGTTCAACAGAGTGAAATGTGTATTGTTTTTCCCTCAGAAAAGTATGAATATATTGAATTTCCTAGTTGGAAACTCAGTTTCATTATTTAAAGGTAAGAATTGAGATTGTTGAAGTTATTTTTGCTTCAACTGGTTGAAGGCCATTTGGATATGTAAAATATTGATCTGTGGATGTTGTATTTTAGGCTTATTGTATTGTTTTTGTCTGCTCTGCTCTGCTCTGCTGTTAGTGTTTTTGTTGTACGAAATGTTACAAAATTTATTTAAGATAGGTCTTTTTAGTTTGCACATGAGAAGACTTAAATGATTTGGGGTTAGAATTGTATAAATCATTTGATAAAACTGGACCTGTAGGATTACGATAAATCTTGTGTGGCATCTAACACCATTATCAGTAGTTGAAAAATAGTGAGTACATTGCGATGCTAGCTGCATTTTTGTTCTTTTGGACAAACTGCAAATTTATCTGTCTAAAGACAGGTAAAATCTGTCTTTAGAAAATAATAGACAGAACTAGACAGTCCTCTTTTTGGTGGTATGTTTATTTGCTTTCCTATTATACCGGGAACAACATCCTACCTACTCCTCTAAAGCTCTGTAAACAGAAAATACTGTGCCCAGAAACAAACAAAAAAATAAAAAATGAAAGGACAGCATGGTGTTTTTACTTTTTTTTTTTTTTTTAGCTCAAATTGAACAAACAAGATGTGAAGTGTTCATCAAGGAGCTTTAAAGGTGTTGGGAGGTGGTTTTTGTTACTCTGAGACAGAGCCAGGATAACTGGTTTCCTATTTCTAGTAATTGAGATAAGCTAAGTGTCTGTTGGTTGTAATTTAAGGTTATTAAACTGGTATGAATCTCATCTAATACTGCATTTATGTTATAATGGGGGGTGGGGGGTGGGGGCAACTTTTACACATATATCCTCGTTATTCTATATTTGGTGCACTATGACAAGTTTCTGTGGATGCTAAGCTGAGCAGGATGTACTGAAAACTTAATTTTGTTGAACTTCTTGAACAGAAAATAATTTGCTTAGTTGTGGGGTTTTTTCATAGCATTACTAGACAAGGACACTATTTTCTTCTGTTGAGAGTGATCTAGATTAGCATGATAGCTAAGGGTGTATCACTTATTATATGTCAGTGGTATTTTTAATGTGGCAAATACTAAAAACAATTTTGAAAGAGCAGAGGAAGACCCTTATTTTTTCATGTGAATGTAACTTTTGATTACTCATATAAACTTTTCCAAATACATACAAATGTATGTTTACATGGTGTAAGAATAGGGCACAACCAACACCCTGAAGAAATACAGAACATGCAAAGTTGAAAGCAAGTGAATATATCAGTGACTGAATCCTCAGTAAGTGAGTGAATAAGTATATTTCCCAGAATCTTGAGCTATTCTTTGAAAGATTAGATACAACACATTAACTTTGACAAAGTGATTTTCATCTTTGTAGCACAGCCAAAAACTGAAAATGAAATCTCCTGACAAGCTTGCATATGTGGGGAAAATTTTAATTCCAACAATGTAAAATTTTTCAAACAAAGTTTTCAATAAAATTGAGCACATCAAAGACATTTCTACTTTCAATATCAAGAGTTCAGATGTATACATTGGGATCACTGTTGAGTACATGTAGTGAGTCTTACCCAATAGTGTAATGTGATGTTCAATTCCTGTAAACAAATGCTGTAAAGTAAGCTCAAAAGATTGATTCAAATGTGTCTTGGTGTTTAAAAAGAAAATGGGATTTGTCAATGAAACATATTTTTGTGTTTTGCTTTGTTTTTCGTTTGTTTTGTTTCTTCTTCTTTCTCTTTTTCTTTTTTTTAACTTTGCTTCACATCATAAAATTTATGACTTTTTAAGTCTTGCCACAGTCCTGAATAAGCAATTAATTTCATAAATAATTGGTGAAACCCTACTGCATAGGTATGCAAATGGGACCTGGCTGAAATGTGCACTTGATGAAGATGAAACGGTTCACATGGTGAGCTATATGTCATGTTGCTTCAACTAGATGTGCATCGTTTTTAAAAGGCTGAAATATTTAGATATTACAGTCAAGATAAATACAGAAGTATTTAAAGATGAAGAGAAAAGCTAAATTGTTTAGCCATTTTTTCTTTGTTGCACTGATGTACATATCAATGTCTTTAATTAAAAGTATTACACACATGAGAAGGTTCTGCTTTATTTTATTTGTAGTAGTAGTATTTGTAGTTAAGTCTGAACTGTCTAGTAAAAGGATCTTCATAATAACAATGTGTAGGTATGTTTTGAGAAATTTTGGCAAATCAATTAAATATCTGATTTTATTAATTTAAAACATCTACAACACATTCAACTGTG